AATTTGGAAAAAAATCGAAAAGTCGTATTTTTGTCAATGTGCGCCCGCTCTTTTGACTTCTGCGGATTTTTGTTATACATTTGGCCTTTACTTTTACGTTTCATTGCTTGGTTATAAAGCTTTTGCAACACATTTTCATTAAATGACTGCTGTGACAAAAAAAAAACAAAAATCCGTTAGTACAGGGTGTCCCAAGATTTTTGCGGAAAAGTAAAAGCTTGTTTCTCGAAAAGTACCAGTCCAAATTGGACGATTCTTTTTTTAGTACACTTGAAATTGCGGGCGGATTTGGTATTGGTACTTCGTTTTTTGATATTCGGCGGATGGTCGGCGGAGGCCGGCGGAGGCTACTTTTTTTGCTTTGACCAATCCAAAACCTTCATTTTTTGGTTCCTATGTCACCTGCTGATTCGTCAAAACGCTTTCCAATCAAAACATGTCTTTCCCTGCATCGGCGGACGACCGGCGGAGAAAAACGGCGAAGGCCATAACTCCGCTCAAACTCAATATTTTTTCACCGGACAAAGAATGGAAATGTTATTTTAAGCTTTTTAATACATTTAATCAAGTTTACAGTTCAAAAAATTTCATCGGCGGACGATCGGCGGAGAAAATCGGCGAAGGCCGTATCTTGGTCAATTTTTAATAGTTTTTCTTCGGAAAAAAAGTTGTTGGTACCCTAAGGTCCTTCTCTACCAAACAAATTTAAAAATTTTTTAAATTTTTTAAAAACTTTTTTTTAAAAAATATTATTTTTTTTATTTTTTTATTTAACTTTTTAAAAACTATTCCGATATTTTTTATAAAAAGTTTATTAACAATAACCTATATAACAACAACGCTAACTAATGAGATTGTTCATCGTTGGTTGCTGGGTAACTCCTTTCCACACTTTGACCACCAACATCAAGACACCGTCGCAATCACTTCGGATAGTTGCGCAAAGCTGCGCGACACATTTCCACTGAAATCTCCGCAACCACATCGCGAACTTTTTGCTTTAGTTCGCGTAACGACGCGACTTGAACACTGTATACTTTTGCCTTCACGTAACCCCAAAGGAAAAAAATCCATTGGGGTTAGATCGGGCGAGTTTGCCGGCCAAACGAACGGAGGAGAAGCGCCGCGACTATCCCGACCCATCCAGCGACCCGGCAGATGGGTGTTCAAAAACTCGCGCACAACTAAGCTATGATGAGGCGGAGCCCCATCATGCATGTACACCAAAGTAGCTAAAAAGATATAAATTAGTATTTTGCTTGTTTTTCGTACCTGAATTTGGCCACTGTAGAAGCTGTGGCAACACATCTTGCTCTAACAGCTCCAAATAACGTGCCCCGTTAATGTTTTCATCAATGAAAAAAGGCCCCACAACCCCGTTCCACCCGATGGCTGCCCACACATTCGTTTTGGGAGAATGCAGCGGCTCTGATACACACCAGTGAAGATTCTCTTTAGCCCACCACCTTGAATTTTGACAATTTAAGCGGCCATGGATATGAAACGTGGATTCATCGCTAAAAACTAGCTCTTCCAAAAACGCCTCGTTGTTTTGCAGCTGCTCAAGCATAACATTTGAATGCGATAAACGTTGTACTATGTGCCTTGGCAAGATTTCTTGCACTTTTTGAAGTTTGTATGGGTGGTACCCATCTTCGCGCAATTTCCGACTACATGTACTCTTCGAAGGTATACCCTCAAAACGGCTCAATTCTCTTACAGATATTCGCGGATTGTCGGCAATAGCATCCCCAATTCTAGCAACAACTTCAGGAGTGGCAACAAAGCTAAAGAAATGTTATTTTGTTAGTTGTGCTTACTTTGTTTTCACTTTTTCTTTTCTGAGGCAGTGCCGACGACTACGAAACTCGATAACCCAGCGTTTAATAGAATCTGCTGATGGACAGGGTGTACGAGGGCTACGGGGGTGATACACGGCCATGTACTTTCTACGAACGCTTTCAGGACTTTCCCCTAACTTAAAATACCATTCAACACATTCACTCTTAACATCAGCACCCCAAACCATTTTTTTCTTGATCAAAGAGTTTTAAAAAAATAAAAATAATACCAAGTCAGAATAGTTTCAACTATGTTTTTATGGTTTTATTTGAAAAATATATGATCTCTGTCGATCGAAAGTAATCTTAACTATTTTTTAAAAAATTCACTAATTTCTGAATTCGTAACAGTTAGGTAGAGAAGGACCTTAGGGTACCAGCAACTTTTTTCCGAAGAAAAACTATTAAAAATTGACCAAGATACGGCCTTTGCCGATTTTCTCCGCCGATCGTCCGCCGGTGAAATTTTTTTGAGTTTTAAACGTAATTGAAATGATTAAAAAGCTTAAAAGAACATTTTTACTTGTTTCCCGAAGAAAAAACTATTAAAAATTGACCAAGATACGGCCTTCGCCGATTTTCTCCGCCGATCGTCCGCCGATGAAATTTTTTGAACTGTAAACTTGATTAAATGTATTAAAAAGCTTAAAATAACATTTCCATTTTTTGTCCGGTGAAAAAATATTGAGTTTGAGCGGAGTTATGGCCTTCGCCGTTTTTCTCCGCCGGTCGTCCGCCGATGCAGGGAAAGACATGTTTTGATTGGAAAGCGTTTTGACGAATCAGCAGGTGACATAGGAACCAAAAAATGAAGGTTTTGGATTGGTCAAAGCAAAAAAAGTAGCCTCCGCCGGCCTCCGCCGACCATCCGCCGAATATCAAAAAACGAAGTACCAATACCAAATCCGCCCGCAATTTCAAGTGTACTAAAAAAAGAATCGTCCAATTTGGACTGGTACTTTTCGAGAAACAAGCTTTTACTTTTCCGCAAAAATCTTGGGACACCCTGTAGTATTCCTCAAAATGACATGATAGTCAAAGCCTGACTCATCTGCATATTAAATTTGGGAATGTTTACTTATCGTATAAATTAAAAACGACGCAAAACACAATACTTAATGGGATTCCCTAACCATGTTAAGCTATGTTAACATATCTCATTATTACAAAGGCTTTTATAAAATTTTTAAAAGTGCAATTGTGTACATGAATGTTGTTATAGACGGTAATATTGTTTCGTTTTGTTTTGATCTTTGCTTTTTAACATGGTTACTGTATGCTGTGATAATACATTATCCTTTTCTGATTTTGATGTCTAATAATGTTGTGAATGAGGAAGGTATATTGAATTATGAGTATGTCAAAGATTGACTGATTATCATTTTTTGGGTAAAATCATATGGTATGTAAATGACGTATAACGTGCAAGAATTGCAAAAAATAGGACTAATCTAAATTTATAATTTGTTTTTTATTGTGAGAAAAAATTTTGTACGAAGTTATGATTTCAATGACTATGATGATTCTATTTTCACAATAAAGGTGCTATACTTCAAACACAAACTGACTTTTTTAAATGTCAAAAAAATGCTTCCCTTGTACTATAACAGCATTCACAGCTACTGAAAATAAAAATGTAACCTTATGCTGACAATTCACTGTCTGTCTATTGCTTGATTGTCTAGTTATACAGGAGTGATGTTCCGCCTATTCAAAGCTCTATAACTATGCGGTCGGGGAATTCCTTTTATTTTTGTTTTGAATTTTAAAACTGTTGACTTTTGACTCAACTTGTTAACAATACTTTGAGACACCGACTTAATATTAAATTCTATATAAATACATGTAGCGAGTTGACGCTTAGATTTTTGTCTATTGTGTGAAGTTGGGGAGAATTTAGCAATAAAATACAGTAAAACCTTTATAGTATGACGTTTGACAGTATGACATCCTTTTTATAATAACAGTTTTTGACTGCCCCTTGCAATAAAGCTCTTATCAAAAATTAATACTAGCTAGTAATTTGATTATTACTAAATACAGTAGAACCTATATATAACGAAAGGCTAGGGGAATTAAAATTTGTTCGTTATGTAGAGGTTTCGTTATAGAGCGGTTAAAAATGCACGGTGTAATGACAGCCGGGGATGCAAAAGTTGTTCGTTATACGGAGGTTTCGTTATATAGATTTTCCTTTTACGGAGATTTCACTGATAATGTAAAAATTATTGTTAGTACGAATTGTTCTACTAGTTAACTTTTAAAATTTATTTTTTACATTAAAAACTTTTTATAGAAGGCTTATAAGCTTTATAGTTTATATTATTGTTTAGCATGTTTCTAATGAGCTACTGTTAATTTCTAAGCCATGAATCATTCGTTTTGTTTTAAGAAAGTTTTAGTAATATATTTGTTGCTAGCATAAAAAAAGAAATACCCTTATTTAATAATGTCAGCAAGCCGCAAAATTTAAGAGAGTCACCCCAAACCACCACCCCCCCCAAACGACGTCCCTGTACACATCCTAATATTAACCACGTTTTTGATAGACAGTATTTTTTGAAATTTGATTAGTAAACAAACTTTTTGCTGTTTGTATGTTCGAATATGGGTAAAACGTTTGTTGTTGGTGATTATGCGAATCTAATCGTCGATTATGCGGTTTATAAAAATTTAAATCTTTTTTTGACCCCGAAATGTTTTGCTTTTTTCAGTTTTGTTCAATTCATTGTTAACCACTACTCATTGGTAGCTTTTGCCAAGCATTTATTTGTTATTTATATTACTGTTTGTAAGTTTTTGGGGCTGTTTTTTTTATAATTTTTTTTAAATTTTGATTTAAAGAAATATTTTATTGATTAGGGCTCATGCCAGGGCTTTGAGCTAGAGCTCTGGGCTAGGGCTCCAGGCTAAGGTGCTGGACTAGGGCTTTGGGCTAGATATTTGAGCTAGAGTCGGGCAATTTAAAAAATAATTTTTAAAAAGTTTTAGTAAAACCTCATTACAATGACAGTATCATATAACTTGGATGTGTCATCCTCAAAGTCATGGACCTTTCTGAAGCTGATGTTCAGATGGCGAGGGTCGATTTGGAAAAGTGTGTCAAGTGAATTTTGTTGGTGGATCCTTGGTTATTATTTGTGTTTTGGTGCTATTCGAATGTTCGATGCTAACTCTATGTTGTACGTTGTGGTTGTGGTCTGTAGTGACTTTCTCATAGTTTATTACTTTTACTGTTATAATAAGTTAAAGTAGTGATAAATTAGGTAACAAACTCAACTTTCAGAAGCATCTGGGAGTTATCAAGATCATTTGACACACAATTAGACTGGATTCCACTTCAGTTCATGTTGGGTTTCTTCGTAACAATTGTGGTAGATCGTTGGAAACAGATCTTTCATAACATTGGATTCATCGATAATACGGCATTAAGATTGGCAGTTTATATGGATGGAGAAGATGCTTATCACAAGACCGTACGACGAAACATCATTCGGTACATGTGTTTGTCACAAATATTGGTACTAAGAGACATTGCCGTGCCTGTGAGGAAACGGTTTCCTTCTTATGAGGCTATTGTTGAGGCTGGTGGGTATTAATGGTTTATATGTATTTGTTTCAAGTATTATATTTATATTGATATGTTCATGCAATTTGTGTTGGCAGGGAAGGGAGGGTAATTTGAGACTTTTAGAAAAGTGGTGGAGAGAAAAGTTTTTTTGAATTTTGAAGAAATTTTTATTTTAACAGGGGGGACCACGTTGATTTTTTTCGAAAAAAAAATTTTTTGCGGAAAGATCGATTTTGTGTAAATTACATTTTAAATGTGTAGTTAGGTACATAAAATCGTTAATTTGAAAATTATTCTTTACGTACAATTTTACATGATATACAATAATATATTTTTGAATTTTTTTAAATTTTTTTGAAATTTGAAAAATTGGGTTATTTTATTACAATATTGGCTCACAAGCTCACAAAATTAAACAAAATAGTGATTTTAAATGCCTTTCATGTTAGTTTTGATAAAATATTATAGGATTCATGAACAAAACTGAACTAGAGCACTTTCGTCGCTTGGATAACGGTTTCGCTCGCTATTGGGTACCGATAAATTGGTGCTACAACTTGGTGAGAGAAGAAAGGAAAAAAGAAAACTTTCCAAACGATCTGTTCTGCCATTCTATTATCGAAGAGCTCAGGACATTCAGGTTGAATCTTCAGGAACTAACCAACTATGATTGGGTATGTTATTAGTACAAAGCTGGAGGTGGTAGGGTGGTAAAGCAAGGTAACGTTGGGGTAAGATAGGGCAGAATAGAGTAAAGTATGATATGGTAGGATAGGGTCGGACATTTTTAATATCTTTTACATTCTCTACTTTTCAACTTGATACTGGATAGTACTAAATTTCAGGTACCAGTACCACTAGCCTACCCACAGGTAGTCTTCTTAGCCGTACGAGTCTACTTCATTATTTGCATATTTTCTCGTCAATACACAACTAAACCCGATGTGAGTCATGATTGGTACGTTATTTTACAGAACGTTCTACCGATTATGACAGCTTTACAGTTCTTCTTCTGTATGGGCTGGTTGAAGGTGGCTGAGGCTTTGTTGAATCCTCTAGGGTAAGTTGCGATTTTTTTTAAATGTAAAATACGAGTTTATTTGTTAAAAATTTAGTAAAATTAATTGTAAGGTTGGAAAAATAAGCTAACACGGAGCGTGGATTCGTGAACCATCAGCATGAAAAAAATAATACTCGTCTAAATTACCGCGGTTTTAATAATAGTTACTAAGTACTTATGGTTGGAAAAGTGTACTCAAAACTTTGTAGAAGACCGGCGCTTTCATTTACAACAAGTTTTTGACTTTTTCATTGAGAACTGTAATTTTGAAAAACTTTTTAAAAATTTGCATTTTAAACACCTAAAACAAGATCTAACTCTTTAAATAGACAAAATTAGTTGTAGAATTTCTTTATATCTGTTTTTGGCATAAAATATGGATTAATTTGATACCAAAACCGCAAAAATCTGATAGCTAGTTTTGGAGCTACAAATTTTGGTTCTTCGATATTGTTTTAGGTGGTCAATAGCTTTTTGAAAATGAAAAATCTGTTTTTAACTTGAGGTTCTTGCTTCTATTTTTATGTATGGCTGTAAAGATGGGATTACGTGTTATTTTATTTACAAAGTTTTCTTTTTCAGAGAAGACGACGACGACTTCGAGACAAACTTTATCATTGACAGAAACCTGGCCGTAAGTATGATAACAACTCTTTTTTAAAACTTTTTAATGTGCTCATGTTTCTGATTCTCCCATTTACACCCGGAGTGGTTCAGGTTTATACTTGATCTTATTTTCACCCCGGACCCGTTCACAAATTCTTGCTTTTTAAATAGTTTTTTGGTATATTAAACTTCACCTACTTTCAGATTGGCTTAGCGATTGTTGACGACTGTCGAAACTCGGTACCAGTTCAAATCCGTGATGTTTTTGGGTCGAACGACCGTGCTCTAGACGTGACCAGTGGCAAGGTCGAGGTGCACGCTCTAATCGGCTCTGCATCCGAATTGGTGGTTGATGATCAGGATCAGGAACCGAGGAAGAACAGCTTCCCCAATGTCAATCAAAGCTTGAGGAATTTGAGGCAGCAGGTTCAGAGAAGGTAAAATACGAAACCTATTCTGATAGTTTTAAAATGATTTTTCAGGTTAAGTCGAACATATTCGTCTTCAGTCTCGCCGACGATTGAAGACTTGGAACGGGCTGGAGCACAGTTGTCCGATGATGACATTAGACGTCTGAAAGAACGACGTCAAACAGTTAGTGGTATGTTGAGTAATTGTAAGCTTTTTAGTACTAAAGAGAAGACTAGTCTAACCCTTACCTTAATCCTAACCTGCAGTACAGTGGCCTAAAATAATGTTAGATCTGTCGTATTTTCGCTGTCTACTTTACTATAGCCTTACTAATTAAAGTAAAATTATTATGCTCCACATTTTAGCCACAAACCTAGGGACATTAGCGGAAGAAGACGACAGTTCCACCGAAAGCAAAGATTTCCACAAAGAAAGTGATAAGGATGGCAAGAACAATAAGCAATTGTAACGAAATTTTACGTTTTTTAAAATTATTATTTTTAATTTACGAAACATCATCGAGCTTACATTACAGTGTCTACACTACAGTATCATTTTATGACTCATAACATAAATATCAAAGCGTTAAAGAAGTCTTGTCGTTTTTAAACATTGGAATCAATGGAATTTGACGACAACTCTTTTTTTAAGGTTTTAGATTGGCATATGGGCTTAAATATGCATACCCTTTGGTGTGACAAGATACCAAAGCAACACTTTTGTAAATTTTGCTGAAAATACCGATTTTTGAGCCTGAAACAAGTTTTTTTTATTTTAAAACTGAAAATTAAAAAAAGGATAAAAATACAGCACATATGCCAAAGCGACCCATCTCAGAACATTTAATATTATTTTTTCTGTCTATCTTGTTTAACGATTGTCAACCTTTCACTCAATGTAATTTTATTAAATTAACAATTTATATTTTAGTTTTTTTGTCAGAAAAAAATTTTAAATTTAACCTAATAAACTAAATGTTTGGAGAAAATTAAGTTTGGTACGTGCTGTTAAGATTAGAGTCTAAAGTATATGTTGATGTATGTTGTGAGCGGAGGCGGTTTTGATGTTCCTATTCCTTGTGTTTAAGTTAATATGTTTAGGTTAGGACTAATGCAAGGATGCGGCATGAATAAGACAAATGTAGAACATGAGAGCATGGGTAAGGATAGGAAGGGGCAAGGATAGGAGATGCGCAATGGAAAAGTAGGAAGTGGGCAAGGCAAAAGTAAAGGATAACGTTCTAAATAAGTAAGACGGGGGTTGGTCATGTGTAAAGAAGGGATAGAGCATAGACAAGGCACGGATAAGGTTTCGACAAGGCTAGGACAGAGCATGGGTAAGGCAGGGTAGGGTAGGGTAGGGTAGGGTAGGGTAGGGTAGGATAGGGTAGGGTGGGGGTAGGGTAGGGTAGGGTAGGGTAGGGTAGGGGTAGGGTAGGGTAGGATAGGGGTAGGGTGGGGTAGGGTAGGGTAGGGGTAGGGTAGGGTAGGGTAGGGTAGGGTAGGATAGGGTAGGGTGGGGGTAGGGTAGGGTAGGGTAGGGTAGGGTATGACATGGCAACGTAAGGTATGGGTAGGGTAGGGTAGGGTAGGGTAGGGGTAGGGTAGGGTAGGGTAGGATAGGGTAGGGTAGGGTAGGGTAGGGTAGGGTAGGGTAGGGTAGGGTAGGGGTAGGGTAGGATAGGGTAGGGGTAGGGGTAGGATAGGGTAGGGTAGGGTAGGGTAGGGTAGGGTAGGATAGGGTAGGGTAGGATAGGGTAGGGTAGGGTAGGGTAGGGTAGGGTAAGGTAGGGTAGGGTAGGGTAGGGTAGGGTAGGGGTAGGGTAGGATAGGGTAGGGTAGGGTAGGGTAGGGTAGGGTAGGGTAGGGTAGGGTAGGGTAGGGTAGGATAGGGTAGGGTAGGGGTAGGGTAGGGTAGGGGTAGGGTAGGGTAGGGTAGGGGTAGGATAGGGTAGGGGTAGGGTAGGATAGGGGTATGGTAGGGTAGGGTAGGGTAGGGGTAGGGGTAGGGTAGGGGTAGGGTAGGGTAGGGTAGGGTAGGGTAGGATAGGGTAGGGTAGGGTAGGGTAGGGTAGGGTATGACATGGCAACGTAAGGTATGGGTAGGGTAGGGTAGGGTAGGGGTAGGGTAAGGTAGGATAGGGGTAGGGGTAGGGTAGGGTAGGATAGGGTAGGGTAGGGTAGGGTAGGGGTAGGATAGGGTAGGGTAGGGTAGGGGTAGGGTAGGGTAGGGTAGGGGTAGGGGTAGGGTAGGATAGGGTAGGGTAGGGTAGGGTAGGGGTAGGATAGGGTAGGGTAGGGTAGGGGTAGGATAGGGGTAGGGTAGGGTAGGGTAGGATAGGGTAGGGTAGGGTAGGGGTAGGGTAGGGTAGGGTAGGGGTAGGGGTAGGGGTAGGGTAGGGTAGGGTAGGGTAGGGTAGGGTAGGGTATGACATGGCAACGTAAGGTATGGGTAGGGTAGGGGTAGGGTAGAGTAGGGTAGGGTAAGGTAGGGTAGGGTAGGGGTAGGGGTAGGGTAGGGTAGGGGTAGGGTAGGGTAGGGTAGGGGTAGAGTAGGGTAGGGGTAGGGTAGGATAGGGTAGGGTAGGGGTAGGGTAGGGTAGGGTAGGGTAGGGTATGACATGGCAACGTAAGGTATGGGTAGGGTAGGGTAGGGTAGGGTAGGGTAAGGTAGGATAGGGTAGGGTAGGGTAGGGTAGGATAGGGTAGGGTAGGGGTAGGGGTAGGATAGGGTAGGGTAGGGTAGGGTAGGGTAGGGTAGGGGTAGGGTAGGGGTAGGGGTAGGATAGGGGTAGGGTAGGGTAGGGGTAGGGTAGGATAGGGTAGGGTAGGGTAGGGTAGGATAGGGTAGGGTAGGGTAGGGTAGGATAGGGGTAGGGGTAGGGGTAGGGTAGGGGTAGGGGTAGGGTAGGGTAGGGTAGGGTAGGGGTAGGGGTAGGGTAGGGTAGGGTAGGGTATGACATGGCAACGTAAGGTATGGGTAGGGTAGGGTAGGGGTAGAGTAGGGTAGGGTAAGGTAGGGTAGGGTAGGGTAGGGTAGGGTAGGGTAGGGTAGGGGTAGGGTAGGGTAGGGTAGAGTAGGGTAGGGTAGGGTAGGATAGGGGTAGGGGTAGGGTAGGGTAGGGTAGGGTAGGGGTAGGGGTAGGGTAGGGTAGGGTAGGGTAGGGTAGGGTATGACATGGCAACGTAAGGTATGGGTAGGGTAGGGTAGGGTAGGGTAGGGTAGGATAGGGTAGGGGTAGGGTAGGGTAGAGTAGGGTAGGGTAGGGTAGGGTAGGGTAGGGTAGGGTAGGGGTAGGGTAGGGTAGGGTAAGGTAGGATAGGGTAGGGTGGGGGTAGGGTAGGGTAGGGGTAGGGTAGGGTAGGGTAGGGTATGACATGGCAACGTAAGGTATGGGTAGGGTAGGGTGGGGGTAGGGGTAGGGTAGGGTAGGGTAGGGGTAGGGTAGGGTAGGGTAGGGTAAGGTAGGGTATGACATGGCAACGTAAGGTATGGGTAGGGTAGGGTAGGGTAGGGTAGGGTAGGGTAGGGTAAGGTAGGGTAGGGTAGGGTAGGATAGGGGTAGGGTAGGGTAGGGTAGGATAGGGGTAGGGTAGGGTAGGGTAGGGTAGGGTAGGGTAGGATAGGGGTAGGGTAGGGTAGGGTAGGGGTAGGATAGGGGTAGGGTAGGGTAGGGTAGGGTAGGATAGGGTAGGGTGGGGGTAGGGGTAGGGTAGGGTAGGGTAGGGTAGGATAGGGTAGGGTAAGGTAGGGGTAGGGTAGGGGTAGGGGTAGGGTATGACATGGCAACGTAAGGTATGGGTAGGGTAGGGTAGGGTAGGGGTAGGGTAGGATAGGGTAGGGTAGGGGTAGGGTAGGATAGGGTAGGGTAGGGTAGGGTAGGGTAGGGTAGGGTAGGGGTAGGGTAGGGTAGGATAGGGTAGGGTAGGGTAGGGTAGGGGTAGGGTAGGGTAGGGTATGACATGGCAACGTAAGGTATGGGTAGGGTAGGGTAGGGTAGGGTAGGGTAGGGGTAGGGGTAGGGTAGGGGTAGGGTAAGGTAGGGTAGGGTAGGGTAGGGTAGGGGTAGGGGTAAGATAGGGTAGGGTAGGGTAGGGTAAGATAGGGTAGGGTGGGGGTAGGGGTAGGGTAGGGGTAGGGTAGGATAGGGTAGGGTAGGGTAGGGTAGGGTAGGGTAGGGTAGGGTAGGGGTAGGGTAGGGGTAGGGGTAGGGTAGGATAGGGTAGGGTAGGGTAGGGTAGGGTAGGGTAGGGTAGGGTAGGGTAGGGTAGGGGTAGGGTAGGGTAGGGTAGGGTAGGGGTAGGGTAGGGTAGGGTAGAGTAGGGTAGGGTAGGGTAGGGTAGGGTAGGGTAGGGTAGGATAGGATAGGGTAGGGTGGGGGTAGGGTAGGGTAGGATAGGGTAGGGTAGGGTAGGGTAGGGTAGGATAGGATAGGGTAGGGTAGGGTAGGGTAGGGTAGGGTAGGGTAGGGTAGGGTAGGGTAGGGTAGGGTAGGGTAGGGTAGGGTAGGGTAGGGTAGGGTAGGGTAGGGTAGGGTAGGGTAGGGTAGGGTAGGGTAGGGTAGGGTAGGGTAGGGTAGGGTAGGGTAGGGTAGGGTAGGGTAGGGTAGGGTAGGGTAGGGTAGGGTAGGGTAACGATAAGATAAAATATGATATTTTGTATTTTGAGTTTTATGACAAATCTTAAAGCATTAAGTTTCTAAACTATACCTATTGCCACTTCCTTATAAACTTGTTACTTTGTGAAACATGTGTAACTCTAATAGTATTTTAAACATTTTTTCACGGAAAATCGAATTGTTTTGAAACCCGTAGTAATTTATGTTATAATTCAGCTGTTCTTCGGTTCGACACCGTTCGCAGTGTGGCTTTTTATGGATATTAACGTACTGTATGTTAAACTACTGAAATTTTATTGAAAGTTATTGTTTTAAGTTTTATGAATTTGCTGTTTTTGATAAAGGGGAAAAACTTTTTTCGAAAAATTTTGGGAATATGTATTTTTATTTTTCTCATTTTTTGGGCAGGACAGTGCAGGGTAAACATGAGGAACGGGCCGGGGCTGACCAAAATAAAAAACGGGCCGGGCCTGAAAGTTAGCCTGAAAGTTAGGCCCGGCGTCGTTTGTTTTTTAAGTTTTACAATCTGTCAAATTTTTTAAAACGAGCCGGGCCTAGAAATTGTCTGATGGGGCCGGGCCGGGCCTGACCAAAATCAAACAGGCTGGGCCCGACAATCAGGCCCGGCCCGGCTCGTTTCTCATGTCTCGTGCAGGGTAGCGCAAAGCAAGGAAAAGGCAGGACAAAGGCAGGGGAGGGCAGGGCATTCCGTAAAACCAATAAAAAATTAAAATCTTGTACTTTGTCCGTTTTACTTTGGCTTGTATATCTATTCTATTTTCATAATTTTATAGTGTCAAATCAGTAATAAGTAATTCAAACAGTAAATACAAAAAGCAAAGTTTCAATAA